TTTTCTCTGGCCTTGCCTTCTGCCCACACTAAAGCTGGTTTTTCTCGTCTTGGCTACATAGGTTCTGATCGGTGGAATATGCTGCCTTCCACTGTTCGCTCTTGTACAGATTATCGCCCATTTGTTCGTTCATGCTTAACCTTTCTAGGGGCTCCCGTAAGAAGACCATAGGTCTGTGGGAAACACCCTAGTAAAATAAATAAAATAATAATAATAATAATAACCCCTTGGTGCCCGGAAAAGTGGTCTTTAGTGGCAGGTGGTCTTTAGTTAGAGGTTTGCACCGCGCGACCATATATGGATCCCACTCTATGATATGTATGTCAAAATGCAGATAATACAATCCCCCACCACTTGCGCACTGACATTCTTCTTTCAGATCATACAACACTTGGAGAGAGAGAGAAAATTAAGTTGTTTATACACTGGAAGCGATACGACCTTTTGACCCGTATGTCAAACAGTAGATCTACGCGATGCGGCGATGTTGCGAGTTTTCGCACCTTCACTGTAGACTATTAATATTATCCGCCATCGTATCCTGGCCTGTGTTCCCTACAGGTGAGTACATGTACCGTAGCATGCTAGCTAGCCAGCGCAGACTGTCAGTGTGCCCTGGTGACTGAGCTGTGTGACTGCACTTCGACAGAGAGCCGCTCAGTCTTAGTCTCTCCTTCGAGTAGTAACATCGATCAAAGAGCGCTTTGGATGCGCTCTCCAAGACGTTTCCTATCATGTTTGTTCTTGACAGCACTTGAAATTATGACAGGTGTAGTGCAGTCCACACTGATTCCACAGTAAAAATGAGACTGCGTTCATTTGTCCAGCTGTAGTATCGAAACGACCATGGAAAATCATCAAAATTTCGAGAAAGAGCTTTGAGCAATGTTTGATTTGCTACATCGCGGTCGCTAGTTACGGGTCAAAATTCGACATTGGGACAAGAAAAGGCGGTCGCTGGTCGCGTTCAGCAGGTAGTCGCTAGTCACAGTGCATTTAGAATGTGATACCGTCCGTGCCTGACGAAGTGGTCGGTAGTACCAGGCCGGTCGCTAGTCACGGTGGTCGTTAGTTACAGGTTTTACTGTATTATGTATACGACTCCCTGATGTAGAGGGAGATTTGGAAAGAAATAGGGAGACGAGGAGGAAATGAAATTAGAATAGACGCCGAATAGGTGATAGGATGCGTCAGCAAAACATACTTTGGAAGAGAGATCCCGTCGTCTCCAAAATAAGCGTGAACGAGCGATTCAGCGCCGGTCACAGGAAACGTCGGAAGAGAGATCCCGTCGACTCCAGAACACCTGTGATCGGCAGAGTCCGCGCCGGTCCCAGGAAACGTCAGGACAGACTTCCCGTCGAGTCCAGAACGCCCGTGATCGGCAGAGTTAGCGTCGGTCCCAGGAAACGTCAGGACAGACATCCCGTCGTCGCGCAGAAAAACTAAATTTGCAGCCTCTTTTGCGGTCGGACAGGATACGTATTTTAGGAGACTGTAAAGTTATGCAATGTGCTCCACAGGCAACCATGCATTTGGCGTCCTCATTGGCTCAACAGGTCAATGTATTACTACAAAAAGGCCAGAAAATCCGATTACTCTTTGGTCTTTCCATAACCTTGAACCTTCCAAGTTGGAAGGCTGTCGGTTAGCGCTACGGAGATGTGTTGAAGCTAGGTGTCAGGACGTCGAATGTCTCAGTACTCTGTCAGTTTTGTGCCTAGTTGTTGCACTTTCTGACTGTATATAGTATCTAGTTACAGTGGTGGAGAGTTACTCTTAACTCGTTTCCATTATGTCCTTTTCCTTTCTACTGTATTAAAATCAACTAATTTTCGCTGGTGATTTAATTTCGCTGATTTCGCCGCTTGGTACCAACCGGCCAAAGTAAATTGCAGGCCAAAGTTTGTCATAGAGGCAAATGATGCATGATTGAGCAATGGATGCATGTGAGAGCAAAAAATACCGATCGATTTCTTTTTGAAAACTCAAATCGGCCAAAGTTTAATGACGGCGAAAAGTTTCGTTTCGAGATCGGCCAAAGTTTCTAATCAGCCAAAATTTCTTGATTTACAGTATAAGGAGATAAAAAGAAAAGAAGGAGCAAATCAAAAGTATATGATAATAGAGAAATGACCATCCGCAATAAATTCTGCAAATACTTTTGCCTAACTCATAATATTCAAACTGATTGAAACGTTTTTGCAATACAATGATGTGGCCAATCAACGGAAAAAAAACATTTCCATCAGTTATTATAACATGTACGATGAGCTAGGCAAAAAAAAGCATAAAAGCATAGCGTAGGGCCCTGAGCTTCCAAGCTCTCTCGTTTAACAAAGGGAGAGTTTTGGGACGGACTCTGCCTCCGTTACGGATGGACACCGGCCAGGGTACCGTCACACTGCTCTTGCGGCCAAGAGGCAAGTGTCGCGCATTCCCTGTCGTGCCCCTATGGAGGGTTTCCCTCCATTAGACACAATGGTATTCGGGACGTCACGGCCCGGCTGCTGGACGAGGTGTGCACCAGTGTGTCCATCGAGCCCTTGCTGCAACCGCTGACGGGGGAGCGTCTTCGCTTCCGGACCGCAAATGTGGAAGACCGTGCCCGGTTGGATGTCGCTGCCAATGGTTTGTGGGGCAGTCGTTTTGAGCGTACACTTATTGATATACGGGTTTTTAATCCTCACTCACGCTCAAATCGATCTGCACCACATACTATTGTGTATCAGCGACATGAAAAAGAAAAGAGAAGGCACTATGAGGAGCGGGTGAGGCAGGTTGAGCAAGCCTCCTTTGTTCCGGCGGTCATGTCAGCCAGTGGCGGAATGGGTCCAGCATCAACAGCACTGTACAAACGAATTGCTCATCTGTTGGCGGAGAAGAGGGGTGAGCATTACTCTCATGTTATGGCATTTGTTAGATGCAGGATTTCCTTCAGCCTTCTGAAATCCTGTATCATGTGCATTCGCGGTTGTAGGCGTTTAAATTTTGGTTTGAAATTTGCACCCTCCTGCGGAGCCCACGCTGCTTTGGCAGTGGCGGAGGCTCGCTTGCCGACGTAACCGTCGGAGATCATCATGAACAATGGACTGACTAATTATTCACTTGTCCTGTCTTTATAAATAACATGTTATTGCATATGTTCTTGGTTTAGTTTTTGGCCTTTTTCGTGCTTTGGAGTTGATAACATTTTCCTCACTATCGGAGCTGTGAGGCATGCGGCCAAAGCACTTTTCGGTGCCTATTACCACCCTCGATATCTGGGCGGCCCCGGCGGCCAAATCGTCGGGATGGTTGGCAGATATGCAAACTGTACGAAAGCACTTCCGTTCCTGAGCTGCTAGAAGCATGGAGTTGTAAAATATGAACTACTGCCTGGTTGGAAGTCAACCCTGTTGTGCGGGCAATGTCTTGTGTGCAAAAAGTAATGAATGGCGCCATTCCATTGTCGTTGACCAAAAGAGGCAGCTTGTTGGGCACTTTACACAGTTACACTTGTGAACATAAACTCACGTCCATGCAATTCCGGATACCGACATACCAGCATGCAGTCACGGTGCAGAAAGCATGCAAGTCGCGAACTTGTAGTGCGCAAACCCACAACCATCGCAGCCGCCGCCACCACCCGGCGCAACCACAACCACCACAGAGCAAACAAAGATGTTAGTGCCCGTGAAATTTTTCTCGTAGCAATTTTGATCCAGAACACAGTGAACCGCAACTAGCTCTACATTGCAGGGAGAGCAATTATATAGAGAAAGTGGTGTGTGCTTCATTGATGGGGATGACCAATGGCTGAATACTATCGCATGTACATTGTGCAATGCCGGTGAATGAGTGTGTGTGTGTGCAGGGGGAGCGAGAGAGAGAGAGAGCAGGGGAAGGGGAGGGAGGAGAGGGGAGGCAGGGGGAGCGGGAGGAAATAAGCAAATGCCACTAGGGGGGGGGGGGGGGTACACGCAGCTAAGTGGCCAGCGCGACTGTGGAGGCTGCTCACCGCCGGAATACACAGCAAGTGGAGCGTCTATCCCGTGCCAACATTGCCATTTTACCCACAGTGGGAAATGATCTAGCAGGGGGTTCTACTCATAGTGGGCAATGATCTAGCAGGGGGTTCTACTCATAGTGGGCAATGATCTAGCAGGGGGTTCTACTCACAGTGGACAATGATCTAGCAGGGGGTTCTACTCATAGTGGGCAATGATTTAGTAGCGAATTCTACCCATAGTGGGCAATGATCTAGCAGGGGACTGATCGTGCAAATAGAAAAACACACTGTGAGCGGCTTGAGGCTTATAGCAGATAGCTACGATGAACACAGCGAACTAACCTATCTATCTAATTGTTATAGAAATCTGTAGAGAGCCCTAGAACGATATGAACATGGAGGGAGAAATCATGGAGAGCTAACAAAGTTTGGGCGCTAGCTGGAGGCGCATTCAACTGAAGATTTGAATCTAGTAGATAGCTATACGATGAATACAGAAAACTAGCCAATCTATCTAATTGTTATACTCAAGTAGAAATCTGTAGAGAGCCCTACAAGAATATGAAAACGGAGGGTGGAGTAACTTCACGGAGAGTAAACAAAGTTTGGGCGCAAGCAGGAGGCGCATACAATTGAAGAGTGGAGTCTGTCAACCGTGCCCTCCTATTGCACTCTAAGTATACGTTCTCTGGCACTAAAGAAAGCAATTCAGTAGATAATGAGTGGGAAGAGAAAATGCAGAGTGTGATTTGGTGCTGTGTTCAGATCCTAACAAGCGGGGGGGGACCCATTAATATGTCTCCTAAACTATTGATAGTTGATGCGGAGTATTCAAGAACGAAATTGTCTGTTCTGCACACTCGATGCACATGATATGAAGTTTCAAGGTCAACGTTCGCGAATCTAACCTGAGTCCTCCGGAGACAAAGCTGCCGGTAACAGTGTCCTTGGCTTTGAATTAGGAGGAGGAGCAGAACATTAAATAGAAACGTTGGGGGGAGGGGGGTTCTGAAGAAGATGGTGAGGCACATAGTTTCGGAGTTCTTGAGAACTGCGAGACTATGCAGGTGGTGGGGTTGGTTTGCGTGCGACACGCTTTATCCATGCAACAATTTGTGCGAACATGCTCTCTGTGTTTCCAGTGAGCAAGCATGAAGATGTGCGTTCATGCGTAGTGGTGGTGCATGTGCACGAAAAAGAAAGATTCTGAGTGATGATTGCCTATCTACTCTTGAAGAGGATGCGTTGAGAGGAACAAGCTTGACCCCACGCGTGACGTGCTATGCGGTACGTAGGGGATTGAGCACCCTGTTGTGTACAGCACAACCGGCATTCAACGGCCTGGCAACGTCTTGCTGCACACACACCACAAGTTGTAGTCGGGTCATGCATCGGTGAGGAGGCATGGAACGCCGGCCCTCATACACAGCGATGCCCGGATGATAGTCCACTGTGGGAATTATTCCTGGGTCCCAAGGACTGCGACTTCAACCTGTGGCGAGTAGCAAGCCAAGTTGTCCCTGTCTGCCACCCTGGGATTAGCACTTAGGAGCGCATACTGCGGGCCCGATCTAGACCGGATGCCCGAAGCCCGCTCTGTGTAGTGTCCTTCGGTCTCCGTAGCGACGCCCGGGTCCTTGGCAGAGGCGCTGGCATTCGGTCGTCCCCGGCGATCTGTTGTTGGGCTCCGGAACTGGCGACTGGTCTGAGGATAGCCTCGCCATGGGGTGGCTCGCTGCCAAACACTGTTTTCGTAGGTATCGGCGGAGCAGTCTCTGCTTCGGCGTGTTCCGTCTGTCTGCGCCGCTGTGAAGTGCTGCTCTTCCTCGACTTGTTGACATTGGAGTAATCACCGTGCTTTGACGCGCATTGTATCTCGCCCGGAGTCAGCGAAGCAGCAGATGGGCTGCCATCTAGCTGGGACGAGTGCTGTGTGGGAGAGGGCAATCTCGGTGTGGTCATGCCTGCATCGAGCTGAGTGCCCGGGTCATTCTTGACGCGGCGGAACTTGCTGCTCGTCCGCTTCATCGGCTCGGGCATGCCAATGCTAGACGGGTCTGCAGGCGCCTCAGCTTGCCCGTGACTCTTTACGTCTTTAGACCTGTTGTACATGCTGGCTGCCCGTTGAAACGGAATTGGCTCTGCTGCTGCGGCAGGGTCTGCATGGACGCTTGTTTGCTGACGGTCATCACCGTGTACCAGGGAGATTTTGGACTTGGTGATCGGCTGCTCGTAACAGTCCTCGTCCTGTTGCGCTTGGTGCTGCGGTTGAAATTGTTGGTGCTGTTGATGCTGCTGTTGGTGCATGCTGTGGTTGCTGGCGGCATGTGAACGTGCACTGGCTCTCCGCGCCTGGGAGTAACCGTTGGCGCGTACTATTGGTTCCTGTGTGTTGTAGCCACTGGCCGCCGCCGCACTGCCGGGACCCATGCTGTGCATCGAGAGAGTCGTGGACTCCGAGACCTGGCTGCCCCAGGCATTGCCTGCCCCGTGCTGCTGCAGTAGTAGTAGTTGTTGTTGCTGTTGTTGTTGTTGTTGTTGTTGTTGTTGTTGTTGTTGTTGTTGTCGTCGTTGCTGCTGCTGCTGCTGTTGCTGCTGCTGCTGTTGCTGCTGTCCACGACTAGCGTACATTGAGCGCGAGTGTTGGGAGCGTCTCTGCGGACCGTCGCCCGGAGCCGGCAGCATACCGCTGTTGCTGTGCGCCACCTGGCTCAAGTCGTGGAAGCTGCTAATGCGGTCGGCGTGCGGATACTGCATGCTTGATACCGTCCTGGAGTAGCCGGAAGACGAAACTGAGGGGTTGCGTTGCAGCTGCGGTGGCGGATCTTGGTCGACGGCGTCGCTGTACATGCTGTTCATCTCGGAGTCATAACGCAGGTATCTGCCATCCGATACGTTGCTGCCGTTGCTCCTGATACTGGCGTTGCGTGACACCACTGAGTGCTGTCTGCTGCCGCTGCTGCTGCCAACTCTCATGGACTGAGACGAGTGACGGCGTACTTGGTCCGGTGACGAATGCACGCTGTTGTTGCCCGAGCGTGAGATCCGCGCGTCCGGCATCAGGTTGTCCGGGTAATGCTGCTGGTGGTGCTGGTGCTGTTGCTGCTGGTGGTGGTTGAGCGATACGTTATCCTGCTGCGCAAGCCGGTCCAGCGACATCATGCTTCCAAACGTGGCGGCGTCTTGGTAGCTCAGCATGGACTGCGTAAAGCTGTGCGGGCTGCCGGAGCGACTGTTACTGTAGCCCGGCTGCTGACCGTTGTCGCCACCCAGCATCCACTCTCCAGCCATCTCATCCTCCTCGCCATCAAAGTCGTTGATGAAGTCAGTGGCGGTGGACGGTTTCCTGGCGCCTCGCGGCATGTGCCGCGACCAGCTCGCAAGCACGCCCACGTCACCGTCGTCGTCTTTAAGCTTCGGCAGTTCTCCTCCCCTAGTGAGTGCGCTTTCCTCGTAGGCTTTGCCGCCTTGGGCCTGCTGCCCAGGCCAGAATTCGTAGCCCTTGTCGTTATCCATGGTGGTGCGGTCGGCATGCCTCCTGGATTTTTGGCGACGATTGTGTGACGAGTGCTTCTTAGTAATGCCTTTCTTTTCCTTTTTCTTCTGCCAAACCCACATGGAGATGCAGAAGCAGATGAAGAAAGCGATTGAGGCGGCAACGCTTGGCAGAAGGATGTCGAAGCCCTCCCTGGCATTCGTTCCCTGCGTGTCAACTGCGTATATCAGAATATGAGATACGTGTGCGTGCGTGCGTGCGCACACACACACACACACACACACACACACACGCACATACACACACACACGCACGCACGCGCACACACACACACACATGCCCACACACACGAACACGCGTACACGCACACGCGTACATGCACACGCGTACACGCACACGCGTACACACACACACACATACACAATACACCAGCTAGCAAGGGCATAATTATAAGTTAGCAGCCTACATTCCTCGACTACAGTCCATTCAGAAAAAGATGATATCCTCGCTTTTGGCCATAAACGGGTCAAATTTAGAGTTTTCGTCACAATTTTTTTGGCAATCCCCCATGGAAAGCTCTTCCAATTGTGTTTTTGAAGTCTATTTCTCGAAAAAGCAAGACGTAACAAGAATAGGAATTCGGCCAGGTTTTGCCCCCAAAGCACTGAATTGGGTAAAAACCATGAAAATCCAGGTCGTTCACTCCACTTGCATAACAGTACATTTGCGGTTCGAACCCCAGTTGAGGTGCCTTTTTTGGTCCCTTTTTCAAGTTCCGAATCGTGCGGCACTGCACAGTGTACCACAAAATCGCCAAACATGGGAGCTCTCCAGAGCCAGCGCTCATCTTTTTCTGAATGGACTGTAGCTGCAGCGGTGGCTGAAGGTCAACATTAAAACGATTCCCATGCCCCCCCCCTTTTGCGTGGTTCATGGGGGAAGTAGTGCATGATAAGAATGTAGTGAGCATGCAGGCCAGTGAGTTGGGGAGAGCACGGTGCACGTTGCATGCATGTGAGATTAGTACATGTACCACGGACAATGGAGAACATCATGCAGGCTTCTAGCCAAAGGAAGGTAGGGAGCATAGCGCCCTGCTACTCTGATTGAGCCTCCCCCCCCCCCCCCCCGTGAAAAGTGGTGCACCCCCAGGGGCATAGCAGGAGGGCTCCAATTCAAAATGAGATAAATCCCTTTTGTTGAAAGTTCAGGAAGCGCATTTTTCATTTGTTCTTTTTCGGTCTGCACTGCAGCATCAATGACTTTTATCGCGTTTTGCAGAAGAGCGCAAACTTCAGGCATCATTTTGACTGGGATGTATTGCGTTTTGACCCATAAAACCGACAAATTCTTTCATGACAAAAAATGCCAAAGTTCTGGGTTGGTCTTTATCGCGTTTTGAATTGGAGCCCTTCACATAGACTGGTCACACTCCATGTGGTGCCAGAATTACCACTGGATCTTCTGACATCAGGAGATTTGAGCAGACAGCCATGGACTGGTCGCAATACAACCAGTGCCAGTGCTTGTAACAGACCTACTGACGTCAGGGGATTTGAGCTGAGAGGCGTCGACTGGTCGCAATACAACCAGTGGCAGCACTAGCAATAGATCTACTGACGTCAGGGGGTTTGAGCTGACAGGCATCGACTGTTCGCACTCAATGCAGTGCCGGTACTAGCAATAGATCTACTGACGTCAGGGGATTTGAGCAGAAAGCCATGGGCTGGTCGCAATACAACCAGTGCCAGTACTTGTAATAGATCTACTGACAACACTACACTTGAGCAGACAGGCAGTTCAGGCATGTATCACTAGGTATACACTGATTGATGATGTGACATCAGAGCGCAGTGGGGCTGGTTCCCTAAGCTCCCGGCGAAGCATGCACGGGCAAACGGCTCCATGGATTACTACGCATGCATTACGCAAGTCCAACAAGCGTATTATTTGCGCGCACTGTTGTACTTCAGAGCAATCGTGCATCAGTTGCAGGCCCAGGCGTGCACCCGATGCATGCTTGCCTGTATCCACGGCGAACAAACACACCCGCTGCCTAGCAACCGTGCATCACTAACCTTCGCATAATCCCGTTCCGTTCCAGATCCCTGTGCTGTTGCTGTCGTCGGCCACTATGCACAAGTAGTCTGGGGTGTTTTCCAGCTTATATCCTTTGCCACAACTCAGTACGGCTTTGGAATCCAACGACTTGATTGCCGGGTATTCAATCTGACCGCCGACGGTGTTGTTCAGTTCCAAAGCACAGAAGTCGGTGATCACTGCAAACAGCAAGGAGCAAGGGCAGAAAACTCCAAAGTCAAAGTACATGTGCACGCAAGGTGCTATTGTTATTTGAGCAAAATGTGTGTGTGTGTGCGCACGCGCGCGCGTGCGTGCGTGCATGCGTGTGTGTATGTGTGTGTGTGTGTGTGTGTGTGTGTGTGTTTGTGTGTGTGTGTGTGTGTGTGTGTGTGTGTGTGCCCTAGTGGCTATGTTTAACATAGCTGTTCGCTTTCATTGCTTCTGCGATGGGCAGGTCTGAGGTGAGGAGGTGAGGTGAGGCATGTGTGTGTGTGTGTGTGTGTGTGTGTGTGTGTGTGTGTGTGTGTGTGTGTGTGTGTGTGCTTGTGTGTGTGCTTGTGTGTGTGCCCACACTCCATCACCTGGTTGATTGTTTCCTTTTTGTGCGTATCTCTTGTCATCTCTCTTTTCTATACGTCGCACACCAGATGTACTACTATCGCTGTTTTTCTCCTGCTATCTCTCTCTGCTTGCTGGTTTTTTTTTTGTTGCCACTGCCCCTCATCATACCCATGCTTGGGTGGAGGGCGGCGTGACCCGTTAGGGTAGCTGTCAATACAGTACAGTACAGTGTGTGTGTGTATGTGTGTGTGTGTGTGTGTGTGTGTGTGTGTGTGTGTGTGTGTGTGTGTGTGTGTGTGTGTGTGTGTGTGTGTGTGTGTGTGTGGGTGCGTGTGTGTATGTGTGTGCGTGTCTTTAAGGTTGTTTGTGCATGTATTCACACCTGCATTATGGATCTGGTCACCGTGTATATCTACGTTGCAACCCACTGCACATACTTACGCTGACAACCCTGGCTTCCGGACCAGTTCCCGCTTGTTTTGTTGCCGGGATGGCATTCGAACGGTCCGGTGTTGTTGTAACCAAGCTCACATGAAAGTGCTACCGTGGATCCTAACCGTCGTTTGCCAGTGTAGCGAGCACTTCCAGCGTCGGTGTTGATCAGCGGGCAATAGTTATCAATAACTGCATTGGAAGCAAGCGACAAAAAGTAGCATGGTGCACTGAGGAGAAGGTGAGAAAAGCAGGGTTAGAACAGTTTTCGAAAAATAGCAGGTAAGGTTAGTTCTATTGCAGTGAGTCACAGTGGTTCTCTAGTTATGCAATCTGATCTAAAAGGCACGATCCCCCAGCTCCCCTAATCTGATCTAAAAGGCACGATCCCCCTGCTCCCCTAATCTGATCAAAAAGGCACGATCCCCCAGCTCCCCTAATCTGATATAAAAGGCACGATCCCCCTGCTCCCCTAATCTGATCAAAAAGGCACGATCCCCCAGCTCCCCTAATCTGATCTAAAAGGCACAATCCCCCCGCTCCCCAAATCTGATCAAAAAGGCACAATCCCCCAGCTCTCCTAATCTGATCTAAAAGGCACAACCGCCCAGCTCCCCTAATCTGATCTAAAAGGCACAATCCCCCAGCTCCCCTAATCTGATCTAAAAGGCACAATCCCCCAGCTCCCCTAATCTGATCAAAAAGGCACAATCCCCCAGCTCTCCTAATCTGATCTAAAAGGCACAATCCCCCCGCTCCCCAAATCTGATCTGAAAGACACAATCCCCCAGCTCTCCTAATCTGATCTAAAAGGCACAACCTCCCAGCTCCCCTAATCTGATCTAAAAGGCACAATCCCCCAGCTCCCCTAATCTGATCTAAAAGGCACAATCCCCCAGCTCCCCTAATCTGATCAAAAAGGCACAATCCCCCAGCTCTCCTAATCTGATCTAAAAGGCACAATCCCCTCGCTCCCCAAATCTGAACTAAAAGACACAATCCTCCAGCTCTCCTAATCTGATCTAAAAGGCACAACCTCCCAGCTCCCCTAATCTGATCTAAAAGGCACAATCCCCCAGCTCCCCTAATCTGATCTAAAAGGCACAATCCCCCAGCTCCCCTAATCTGATCAAAAAAGGTACAATCCCCCAGCTCTCCTAATCTGATCTAAAAGGCACAATCCCCCCGCTCCCCAAATCTGATCTAAAAGACACAATCCCCCCGCTCCCCAAATCTGATCTAAAAGACACAATCCCCCAGCTCTCTTAATCTGATCTAAAAGGCACAACCTCCCAGCTCCCCTAATCTGATCTAAAAGGCACAATTCCCCAGCTCCCCTAATCTGATCTAAAAGGCACAATCCCCCAGCTCCCCTAATCTGATCAAATCACTCCAATGACAAAATGGACATACTCGGAAGGACATATTGGATCGCTTGTAATTGTCGTATTTTGTGCACTATTGCTGTGCATTTCACGAGTGTGATATTTATTTTGAGATGCAAGTACGATTCTAGTTGGGTAGCCTGTTTGGAGAAGTAACGTTTCTCCGCGCTCTCCTACGGGAGAGCGAACAGTTTTTATCAAATGGAGTGAAGGAGGGAACGGAGCGAGGGATGAGAGCGCACGGACGGCCAGTGTTGACCCCACCCCTAACACCGGCTCCAGTATTGACCTCTCCCCCCCCCCCCCCCACCCGCTAAACCTCTTATTTCATTTCACTTTCACATTCTAATTTGGACTATAGCCCGTGTGTACTTGTGAATTCAAATACAGAACTACATGTACATACATCAAGGACCAACATGTTACATGTGATCCGCAGTTTGCGTTCAACACTAACATTTTGGTCCTTTCTTATAAATTTAATCGTTGCCTCTCCATGCAAGTCTTACATACATCCAGCACTATGTACGTATCAGACTCAGCGGAGGGCGTTCAGGTTGGTTGCAACTCATGAAACTCCGAGTTACAACCAACCTGAACGTCCTCCGCTGAGTCTGCTATGTACTACAGTCCATTCATTGGAAACTGGCACCCTAACTTTTTGGTGTCTCCCACACATAATTGTAGATCCCGTGAAAACAACAGTGCATCCTACATTGTGTGACCCATGCAATTACTCCTTGCCGTTTGTTTGAGGCCAGAAAAGTCCAAGAACAGGGAAATAGAAATTCAGCCAGGTTTTATAAAATCAGGACACGTATTCCATGGCAAAATGTATGGAGAAGCAGATCCATAACCCAGATTTTTGAGATTTAAAGTGGGTTTTTGATCCTGTATTCCGCCCAAATCCGACTTTCAAAAGCCAGAGGGACTGTTTCTGATGAATGGACTTGTAAGCTCTGTCTCTGACATTGAGCACTCTCTGCAGCTCGGGGATCAACGGATTTGTACAGTAATATGTATGCGACATTACTCTGGCCACCAGTTGGCTAATCAGGACTTACGTGTACAGATGCCGATACTGTCCCACGCTCCCTCGTTACCACAGTAGAATGTATCGCCGGCAATTGCCTCGTAGCCGGGCTTGCAGATCAGAGTGGCGACCGCTCCGAACTCCCGGTTGTCCGTGTACACGTAACGACCCTCGACTCTGGGCATCTCGGAGCAGAAACCGGGAATGGCTGTGAACACGAGAGGCAAACCGACGAGAACGCAAGTATGAGGTCTGCGGTGAACTTGTCACAAGTCACCTGATGGTTGAATTTAGCACGAAGCTCCGTGTTGCGACATACCTATATGTTTGGGTGACTTGAAATGGGAAAAGTCTGCGGAAACAATTCACTGCCACCAGACACACACACAAGAAATAGAACCAGACATGCAGACGGGAGAGACAATATCCATGCACATCTTACCTCTGCAGGCTGCCCTGCCGGACAGGTGTGAATGTGTTGTGTTGTAGACGTCACACGTGTGAACGGTGCCGTTCACGGCTTCGTGACCGGGCTGACAGGTGAGCCGCGTCTTCGTGCCCTGGGGCGTTCTCGGAACATACGCCAGTACACCATTGGGCACGTCGCCCGCTGGGCAGAAAGCTGGGAGCAACAGAGCAGATGTAACATGTTGGACATGTTGGACTATGATTCATCTGTATCTGCACTCCGTAATATGCTTGTATTGCCCATGCACACATTTTGACGTGCTGGATTTTTCTTGACTCTCCGTTGTCTCCCCGGTCCACATGGAGAATGGTTGGTATGCATTTGAACCGAGCGTTTTCTGTTTTGAGTTTGTGCGTGGGGGATGAGTGAAGAAGTTTTATTGTTGTAACCCTTTGGCAAAGGTTACACATGGTGGCAGAGGTGGGATTTGAACCCACGCCTCCGGAGAGGCTGCAGCAGAAATCAGGAAACTTAAGCCGAGCCCAATGTGTTACAGACTAGAGGGCAAAAGGGCAAAAGAATTTCAGTAATCCAATGAAGTGACTACATTCGGTTAGCGGCTAAATCGTGAGGTGCCGGATCCGGTCCGGGTTGGTCGGGCCATGGCCGGACCAACTGTTTAGCCTGCAACACATGTTCACCGCTGAGGAGATCAGGTGCACTCAACGTCTACACACTGTGCATAAGGCTTATGGGCCTACAGAACCATGATGTATGTCATAAATGGAGCGGTGCAGATTTGAAGACCCGTGCACTAACTAACTAACCAAGCCACCCCTCTGCAATTCAAAGCCGGCTACACCTTGCCAACGCTTACCCCTGCAGGACAGGTCCTCACTCCATCGCCCGGCGTCCGCACTCCCCGCCAGGCACTTCATCTTCGAAGCGCCGGCAGCAACGTAACCGTGGAAACAGGTGAGCGATGCCACGGAGTCAATCTCATGGAGACCGTCGTACGAGATGCTGCCAAAGGTAATATTGACGGCGTGGCAGTAGCGTGGGCGTCCTGGGAGATGAGAATGAAAACACCAACAACAAAGTGATCAGCTCCTGGGAACACAAGTTGCAAAATTTTCATTTCAAATATTTAAAAGATAGAAAAATTCTTTTCAGTACTCAAGGATGTGTTTCTCAAGTATAATAAGAACAAAGAGTATGATCCGCTTTTGACACACAAACAATGTTGAAAGTTGGAACAAATAGCTGCCCGGAAATTAATTCTTTTTTTTCCGCACCAACTCTGTAACAAATGAAACCTAACTGAATATACCAGATATGCAGAAAGTCGAAAAAGGAAAGTTTCCGCGTAAACTGCAATTTCCACCTCCATTCGACACTGTGTTTGACGATGTACTCAGTAGTCAAAGTTGAGACGCAGTGACTTCGGTGCTTGTCGTGGAAGGAGGTGTTCTGTCTGCACAGTGTGGCATGAGTTATATTTCTTTTTTTGGCAGCAGGCAGATGGAATTATCTTCCAGCTGTATGTCGACAGGCCCAGTCTCTTGCACTGTTCATCAATATGGTTCAACTTCCCACCTTGGGTTACCAGTAATAAGGCAGTAGCCTGTTGGGACTCCCGTAGAAAGAAAGAAAAACACTACTATTAATACTACAGTGAGACCTCGCTTATCCGGTCCTCGTTTATCCGGATCCCTCGCCATCCGGAAGAAAATCATTGGTTACCAATTTACAGCATATGCCATGCTTACATACAGTATGTGTGTTCGATTATCCGGTTCCCTCGCCTATCCAGATATTTTTGTGGAAAACGGATGTGTGCGGTTATGCGAGGTCTGACTGTGCCTACTAGTGCTAGGTGGCTGCTCCTAACGATGGAGGCCGCACTCCCTGCCGACTGGCTGACGCTTGACTGACTAATGTACTACTGGAGCACATCACAGGAATGCCACAGTGGACCATTCGCTTGGCATAACACAAAAAAGCACCACTCCCTGCTCCTACCCAATTGGCCACCACATCAGTAGTTCCAGACTTAAAGACACAGCATTTTTCTCGAAGAGGTCACACTTAGGAAGTGAACAAACATCAGGTACATCGCGAGCAGAATATTCGAAACTATTCCGCTAACATACGTTTAACCTATCTCATCCGGTGCAATAAGGCAACATGTAAATGAACAAGAACAATGAATTAACCAGCATAGAATTGCGATAGAGCACAGAGCACTGCAATGAAGAAAACTACTAGAAAAGCAGAAATCAGATTCTCACTCTAACTTTTCCGCTAACATACGTTTATCCTACCGCATCTGGTGTAACGAGGCGAAATGCAAATGGACAAGAACAAAGCTTTAACCAGCATAGAGTTGCGATAGAGCACTGCAATGAGGACAACTACTAGAAAAGTAGAACGCAGATTCTTACTGGAGCATTTCAGTGAGTTGGTCCATATGCCGTGTGTTTCTCTCAGTGGCTTGCACGTGGCCGTATGCGGTGCAGTTCCAATCTCGTAGCCATGGTTACACACTGGTGTGGCAGTGCTGCCGGCCGTTCGCGATCCGTTGTACGCAACTTTCCCGTTTTCCACGAACATTTGTGGACAATAGTCGCTCAAAGCTGCGGAGTAAAGACCGCACAAGGAGAAGCATGGCTAAAGCAGTGTAGAACATTAACACGAATATTGACTACCAGAAACTGCTATAGACAAGACCACATACATGTATCTGAACTACCCCGCTCACGTGCGCGTGCACGCGCGTGCACACCCACACCCACCCCCCACCCCCACACCCATCGAACCCGCAACCTCTCGATTGGAAATCGACTGAACATACCACTGCACCATATGGGACACACACACACACACACACACACACACACACACACACACACACAGACTGTGCACGTCTCTAACCTTTGCAGACAGGAGACTCCCACGCTCCCACGCCCGTTGACTTCGTTGCACATGCCAGGTTACTTTTCAGTGCTTCGTAACCAGGGTTACAGAGCAGTGTTGCCAAGGAACCAAGTGACCGGGGTCCTCGATACGTCAGGTAGCCATTAGCGATGTTTGAAAGAAGTGGACAGTATTGTTCGTTAGCTGTGGGGAAGCAGAATTGAAACAAAAACTATACGTCAGAAAACGTGTACCATGCGGCAAAACGGCTTCGATGAGCACACATTCATGCTGCGCAATGCCAGGAGCGGACACTTCGCAAAAGTTTGCACTATGGACATGATAGACCTGGAATTTTCTTTATTTATTTTTCCATGGTGCACGTCTCTATGCGAGAAAGCATAGCATAGTGTTGTAAACTATTTTTCCACTTCTGATTGCATGCAGAAAATCCTGTGAAAGGAATTATACGTCCTGGGGCTGATCTTTGATACAAAAATGGCTACTAAATGTGTAAGCACCGCCATACCATATAGTATCACAGCCTGGGGATTAGTTTCGGCAAGAGTGAATAAGCTTCGAAGAGTGTGTACCTCTGCATATTGGGTCTCCCACGGCGAAAACTCACATCACATGTGTGAGGTACGCTTCGTACTACGTACAAAAGAAGAATAGTGTGTGCGCAATCCGAATATCTGCCAGGATCATGCCGGAAGAGTTTCATACGAGTTTCTGTCTGTTTTTATTACTCAGCTGCTCACTAGAAACGGGCTGGAAACGTACAACTGGAACACTACGCCACGTGATGTGAGTTTTCGCACGCATGCATGCACAGACACAGACACAGACACAGACACACACAGACACACACACACACACACAGACACACAGACACACAGACACACACAGACACACACAGACACATACACAGACACACGCACACACACACATGCAGACACACACACAGACACACACACACATGCAGACACACACACAGACACACAGACACACGCACACACACGCACACACATACACACACACACACACACACACACACACCTTGACCTTTGACGACCATCGCCAGAGGCGATGATAGCAATGCTACGACAGAAGCCATAGCAACTTGTGCTGGGATTGCACCATTCAACAGCTTGCAAGGCTGAATAATTGACTGTCACTATTCAGCCTGGTCTACACCATACAGCTATTTTGAAGTGACTTTTTCTGGCCAGTGAATCCCTATTTTTGGTCTTTTCATTTTTTACACCCACACACCCACACACCCACACCCACACCCACACACACACTGTACTGTACTGCACTGTACTTGTTGCTCACTGCCAAAACTCGTCACGTGAGTAACTCCGGGAGAGGGGAGAGAGACTCAAAAGGAATCTTGGAAAGATGACTCAATTGGTTATTGAACCGCCCAACGGCTGACACGCCCTGAAATCCCCAAAACTCTGGGTGGACTTAAAAATGATCCCACTTATGGGCTCACCACACCTCAGTAAGTGGGCGAGGACAAGGTGCAGAAAAAGGATTGACGGCATCAGAGTATCCGTCCTGGGATCCAACTGCAGTTACCCCTGCCCCCAGTGAAGGTAATATTTGTTACTAGTGTGGTTGGCTAAATCAGAGTGGATCTGATAAAAGCTTCACTAGCACCATTGATTACACAAGAGTTAATCTAGCCAGAAGCAGTCCATGGTTAACAGGTATGTATACTTCAAATAGAAAGTATATGAGCCCTGGAACCAACAAAGGTGGCAGGTACAACATTACACCTTCAAGCAGTTGAGCCTGTTGGCAACAGACCCAACACAATCAGGCATAAGTGTACCTACCAACCGAACTAGCTGGCACACACACACACAAACACACACACACACACACACTCACACACACACACACACACACACACACACACACACACACACACACACACACACACACACACACACTTGTACTTGTACTTGTTGCACACTGCCAAAACTGGTCACGTGGGTCTCCCCGGGAGAGGGGAGAGAGACTCAAAAGGAATCTTGGAAAGATGACTCAATTGGCTATTGAACCGCCCAACGGCCGACACCCCCTGAAATCCCCAAAACTCTGGGTGGACTTGAAAATGATCCCACTTATGGGCTCACCACACCTCAGTAAGTGGGTGAGGACAAGGTGCAGAAAAAGGATTGACGGCATCAGGGTATCCGTCCTGGGATCCAACTGCAGTTACCCCTGCCCCCAGTGAAGGTAATACGTGCTACTAGTGTGGGTGACTAAATCAGAGTGGATCTGATATTAGCTTCACTAGCACCATTGATTACACAAGAGTTAATCTAGCCAGAAGCAGTCCATGGTTAACAGGTATGTATACTTCAAATAGAAAGTATATGAGCCCTGGAACCAACAAAGGTGGCAGGTACTACATTACACCTTCAAGTAGCCGAGACCGTTGGCAACAGACCCAACACAATCAGGCATAAGTGTACCCACCAACCGAACTAGCTGGCACACACACACACACACACACACACACACACACACACACGCTGCTTACCTGTACACAGCGGTGTTGCACTCCAGAAGCCGGACTCGCTGAGGCCAGCTTGACACGTGAACGTCTCTCCATTCCTGGCCACGTGTCCTTCGTGGCACGTTAACTTAGCCGTGTCGCCCATCTTACGCAATGCACTGTAGACGACGGTGCCATAATTCGTATGCTGCTGGAGACAGTAGTTACGTTTCACTGCACACGGAATCGAAATGAGAAGACGAGAAGGATGCCATGCGTATTAAAATGCACCAGCAAGAACTGACATATTTCCAAAACGGAATCTCTATATTGGGCTCCGGTGATCGTGTAGTTCAGGAGTTCAACATAACAGTTGTGCTCTCGAAGAAATGTGTGTTGCTCCGTACGTGGGAGCTCGTGCTTTTCCTGTCGACTGGAATTCTAACGTGTCAGTGTCGCCGAAGTCGCTACAACCTCTTCCTCGAGTCTAAGCACGAAAACTTGCTTGTAGGGGAAACCCCTGTTTCCGGCCACAGTTCTTTTGACTGTGCGCTGAGTGCCCTGCCCTAGCATAGGGTAAAGGTTGCTATGCGCAGCGAGGAACGCGCATATGACGGAATTTAAGAATATAGTACAAAAGAGAATACAGAACTGAGAATATGCCTTAGACACAATCAATTGCTTTTAAAACGAAACGCGGACAAGAACACAAGCAGCGCCATCGTTAGGGTCCCTGGTTCGAGTCCTGGTGGAACAAGTCAATTTCTACTTCTCTACCCTTTTCACCTTCCTCCAACTTACGACCCCATTGCATCCCTGGTTAGTGCTCTCCCCCCCCCCCCCTGCATTGAGTAAGGCAATGCTTAGTGCATCCACAGAGGCACTTCCTCTTTAACCTTCTACAGTGCTCAAATGACCGTGATGGGTCGAGCGCAGCACACAAAAAGCCCTACTTTCCTTTGTGCACCTCTTGTGTGCTTACTGCGTCCAGGCGTACCCCGGAATGAGACCGGCAAACAAGAATCACACCTACTGTAGAAGCAGAAACTTGCCAGTCATGACTTGCTGTGCATTTCTATTATAACGAACTTCGGCTATAAAGAACTAATTCTCCTGGACAATGGCGTTGGTTATGTCAGGAGTCGGCAATAGTTATAATCAAGAAATCGTAAAATACCGAGGCAGGCGTATGATTTCCCAGGATTTACTGTACTGTAAAAGCAGAAATTTTCGGTGATGTAGTATTTTCAGTACTCTCCAAAATCGGCGGTTCGGTGGAGGGAAATTTTCGGTAAACCCGTTTTCCAGGTAAGTGTACTAGTACTATACCGACATTTTCGGTGCGTTTTATTTTCGGTAAAAATTTCGGCACCGAATTTACCGAAAATAGAACACCATCGAAAATTTCTGCCTTTACAGTATGCACAGCGGCTGTATTAGGCTCGCAATCACAACTCACGTTCGCATCGAATAGCAGTGTTGTTCCACTTTCCCTGCCCGGCATCTTGCTGCATACATCTGAGTACATCACCGCCAGACGTTGCATAGCCCAGACTGCAATTGACTCGAATGTCCACGTCAAGTTCACGTGCCGTGGAGGTCAGATGAGATTTGGCAATGGTCAGTCTCGGGCAATACTCCGGGATTTCTACATGGCATGCGGAGAGCGTGCACAACACACATACACACACACACACGCACGCGTGCGCACAAACACGCATGTACACACATGCGCACATGCACATACACCCACACCCAAACACACACATTCGTGCACCCACCCATCCACAAAACACATAATACACATACACATACGTGCATGAACACATGCGCACCCGCAAACATACGCATACACCCACACATACACACAAACTTGACAAACTCCAGAGATGGAACACAAAAAGGTGGTGTACTTACACGCAACGGATACGCGAACGTCGGTGAGACACACATAAAGTTCATGCAATGAACCCACGTTTCCAATTTTGTGTTTAGTCACACGGATTCAAAACTTATGAACTTTTGAAAGTGGGCATAGAAAACCACAGTCTTCTTGGTCCATTTTCACCACAACAACATACAAGCATCTGATGTGAGCATGATGGCTCGACAATGACACCCCCTCCATACACACACCTGGCCTGGTGTACAGCTGCCAAATGCTTGGCCATGCCGCCCCCGAGACAGGGGAGATTAGAAGAGAGAGTTCGAGAGAAGTCAGCACTGCCACTAGGAAGCCACTACGCCACGATGCCGTCCACGATTGCAATTGTGTCGCCAAAAGCCAGGAGCAGATTGAAAACAGCGATCAAAGGTAGCGCAGTGCAGGTTGCAACACGGATGGCGGGTGATTGGTATGCGCTGGGGTGTGGGCGGTGATGCCAGGGCGGGAGTCGTGCACTTGTGCACAGCAAGTCCACCGGCACTTTGAAACCACCGAAGGCAGGCAATGCCATGCCATGCCAAACACATACACACACACACACACACACACACACACACACACACACACACACACACACACACACACAGATACACAAACAGACGAACACAAACAGACGAACACACGCACACACACAGATACACAAACAGACACACAGACAGACACACACACACACGCACACACACACCATTGGACCATTGGACACACACACACACACACACACACAGATACACACACACACAGACGGACAGACAGACACACACACACACATATACACAAACAGACACACAGACAGACACAGACAGACACACACTGACACACACAGACACACACAAGTACCCCCCCCCCCCCCCACACACACACAATCATATGAAAATGAACACCACCACTCCTCACCCCATAGTGCCACAACTTACTGTCACACCGTGCTGTCACGTTCCATCGTCCAGTACCAGGTCTGGAGGTGACACAGCCCAAAAACTCAGTCCCAGCGGCAGGTTTGTAGCCGTGGTTACAGGAGATCTTCGCTGCTGCACCCTTACGCCGATTGGAGTTATATGTGATTTGGCCATTGGTGACGCTTCCATATTCGGCACAGTAATTGACATCAACTGAGAAAGCAAAGACAACAATCATCATGCTCACAATGACATTGGTGATTCTTCCAACCCAACAAATGTTTTGATAAAAAGGATTTAAGGCCTCTAATTTGAATACTCAATACTCATTTGGTGAAATTTGAAGCGATTCATTTCATGAAAACCAAATGACAATGGTGATGATGACAATGTCGTAATACAGGTAGACTCCCTCTAATTCGAATACGGTATAATTCGAACATTCCGCGTAATTCGAACTTTTTCGTCGTACCGATCTTCTGCAAGTCACTTCAAGTCAAAATCGAATGCATAATTCGAAGTACGAAAAGTGCGCTGGTTGGATAATTCGAACCAAGTCTTCGTACAGAAGAGCTGTTTACAGTACATTGGCTGTGTCCTTTGAACGCTTATTTCGAAGTGAGATTGAGTTGCTATCCTTGTAATTCGAAGTTCATTCTTTTCTCCTTCTCTAGCCAAGAGTAGCTCAAAAATCGATCGATGGTCCGCTGCAGGATCGACTATAGCGTTCAAGAAACCCACCTTCTCTCGAAATTTGATTCGGGCCCGTGCGAGCCAAATTGCAAAGGTTTGATTGAAGACGACTTCTTCCTGGTGGCTGACTCTCTTCGCTGATCTCGATGGCCTTTCTTGCCGCGCCAGCTCGTGCGCGGAGATGTTGGCGCACAACAACACTATTGTTGTAAATATTGTCTATGCCTATGCTCCACTTCCGTTCTTCAGAACGACGTGCTGGTGTCCGACGGCCTTTCATGACGCGGATTAGGTAGCGCAGTTCTTTTCCGTTGAAATTGTTTCAGGAAAGCTGCAGTGACTGACAACTTCTTCACTAGAAAATGAAGATAATGTCAAATGATTGTGTCGATCCAGTGTTTTGGTGATCCGTTGTACATGACCGGTACGACCACCTATGTTTCGTTGATGCAAATAAAAATGTGCAAAAAATATTCAGCATGCGATTTCAAGCATGTTGACATACATATCAGTGCATGGGGCTGCATTTGGATAATTAGAAGTTCCGGATAATTCGAAGTTAGGGCCTGGCAATTTGAGGTTCGAATTAAAGGAGTCTACCTGTACAGTCAAATCCCTACAGTGTATCCCAACCGTGTAACCATGGTAACGTGACTAAGTCGTCAGGCGAAATAGCAGGTCATAGTACATTTGAGACCAGCGGGAAGAAGATGACGACGTCCACTAATTTAGTATCTGTGCACACGAATATGCGGTGTGTGTGTGTGTGACACTGTGTGTCAGCTATGACATCAAACCCTGCCTAGTTCCATGCCTAGCATGTAGGTCAGAACCATCCTGCAAAGTTCGAATGATGTAGGTTGAACGGTACTTTTTGAAATTCTCTTCATAGTATATCTTCCACCATTGAAATTTCGAATTTTTTTGCTGAGAGTGGTGGCTTGCAACATCGATATGGCTTGTTCCAGGCATGCTTTGGAGCCAAACCCTTTTGAACTAGTGGCGGGGATCTGCCCTGCAACTGCTACAACAAAAAATGGTACGATCTGAGAAAGCGTGTGACCCCGAATCTCGTTTGAATATTGAGTATTTCAATCCCTTTCAGATGAAGATGGAGTTCTTTTTGGAGATGGACGTCGCGGCAAAGGACATGGTTTCCGACTTCTGGCGTCTGGTGAAGCCAGGGATCATTTGTCAAGTCAGGTCGGCAGCCTAACCGTCGGTAAGCTTGTGTTTGGATCCCGTTCTGCTCGATGTGGTAGATCACGAACAATTTGATATCGCACAGATTGAAGTCTGCATCATGCGTATAGTATTATAATTATATTCATAAAATCACAAAGTGTCTCTGTGTGGCCGTCCTATGCCACGAGAAACTCCAATCAGGCTCTTATGTCCTCTGCCTTCTTGATTGAATGTCCAATTTGTTTGAACAACGAACACAACAATCTAGGACGGCTTTGCAATGAAAACTGCAGCTATACTGGAGCTGAAAAAAAGAAGAAGAAACGTGCTCAGGATGAGACGCGAGTACACGCGTACTCTCCCAGCAGGTTCTGTGGATGTCGCTCATAGATGCGTAATTTCGCGTGACGGTGCACAAAAAGTATCATCGAATGTGGCCACTGGCGAGTGGAACCAACATGGCTGGCATCATGTGACCCATAAATGCAGGGGTAGACTGGAGTTGGAACAAACATGGCTGCTCCATATGGTCACGAGACACACGTGAAACCACTCCATAAGCTGCAAAATTTTCATTCTAGTGTTAGAATCCTAAGCTCTTCAGGTCATAATTTTTAATAAGAACTCATGACAACCGTATTTCTTCGAGATCTTAAATAACAAAAGCCTGAATTAGAATCCTCGTTTACACTGAGCATATAACTATGGAGAAAACCTGTGCAGCACGGACCGGGCCATTGTCCTCGGGCCCCTGAATGGAAGAAAACCATGCCGACATTGCGAAGAGCGCATGTTAGCACAGCGGGATGACATTAAAATGCTACTAGGCCCGGCTGAGTGAATGACAGATAATGGCATTAGACATGCAGTTTGTTCGCCCTACCTTGGCAGACGGGAGTGCCGCTCCAGGTGCGATTGCTGGAGCACTCGAAGACGGTCGCAGAGGTTGGAAGAAATGCATCATCACACTTCAAGTGTGCGGTGGATCTCAACGATCGTCCCTGATGATGAATGGATCCATGGTTGACTTGCATAGTCGGACAATAGTCGGAAATCACTGCACGGGACAGTGGTCATGGAAACGGACAGAAGATTGCGTACGCATGGGTGTACAGTTATACACATGAACACGTGCACAGACATGCACACATACAACTACCGTAATTTCCAGAGCATAAGCCGCATTTGAACACTGAAACTTCACCCCAAAAACTGGAGCGGCTTACACTCCGATGATCAAATCGTGATAAAATTAATAGGGTAGATGTCTGTATTTCGTGGCAAAAAAATGGAAGCTTCACCCGGACAATTGGCCGATCGGCTTGAAATTTCTACCATAGTGTATGTAAAGAAGTTCCAAATGCCTCATGAAACTCATTTCACTTATGCGCAGGTTGGTTGCGTTTTACATTTACATGTACATGTACGTAGTGCGCAAGGGGCTTTAGCCAGAAACCAAATCCTGTACCGTATTTTTCGGAGTATAGTGCGCACCTTTGTATAACGCGCACCCCCAATCTTCATTGGGGGTGCGCACTTCAATCTTCATTGAAGTACATGCATTTCATATTCGGAGCATAGTCCGCACCTGCGATTTAGGGCCTAAAATAGCACATCTAAAGTGCGCACTATACTCCGGAAAATACGGTATATAGGATTAGCTGGTCCAGTGCGGCTTATACACCTGAACATACGCTATGCAAACACACATGCATGCACACATACACACACATGCATACACACATGTACGCACGCACACACGCACACACGAACACACACGCACACACGAACACACATGCACACGCGCACGCACACACGTACACGCACACATCCACACTCACATGCACACACACACGCATGCACGCACACGCACACGCACACACACACACACACACACACACACACACACACACACATGCTCACACACACACACACACACACACACATGCACCCACCCACACACACATGCACACACACAAACGCACGCACGCACACGCACACAAACACACACACACACACACACACACGCGCGATTGCACGCACATGCACATACACACATAAACACAAACACACATAAACACAAACACACATAAACACGCAAGCTCACGCACATACTTTATGTACACGCCAGAACACAATACGCATGCTTACAATTGCACCGGGCCGACCCGGTCCATATGCCTTCAGAAAGGGTCCCCTTCAAGCATTGATACTGTGGCTTTGAAGATGGTTCATAACCGGCATAGCATTGGAGCGTTTCAGATCCGTTCATAACACCATTGTTTTTATAAGTTATGGAACCGGTTGAAAACTGTAACCGTCTGCAATAGTTCTGTTTAACTACATATAACAAATGGGTAGGAGGCAGAGTAAGCACACAAAGAATAACTTTTTTCATAATTTGTTTTACTATTAACACAGCCCTACTGGAAAACGGGTGGAGAACAAAAAGAAACGAGTAAAAGGACAAGACATAGGGGATGTAGGGACGACGTGCCGATGTGCTGGGAGCAACTGAACCGACCGGAGGTCTCGGCGTCAGCGTTGCAACTAGGCATCAAAAAAATGGGATTTGCTTCCAGAATAGGAAGTTTCAAATGAAGGCAGGCATAGCGGGATGGTCTAACACCATGATTGAGAAACAGAGGGGCAGCAGGATCAAATCCACCTGCACTGTGACCCACCGATCATTGGGAACCTGTGGTCTAACAGTTAGCACGAGGGAGCATATGCGGATGGAGCAAATTGGAATTGTTTTCTTCAGGTTTTTTACCACTTTGGGGGACGATCTGATCCACTCCTCTGCCACCACTTCAGGAGCCACACCCGCACCTTGATCCTTGAGGGCGGTGGTGTTCCTACGAATGCAAGAACGCTCAGTCCAACCGAGTCTCGAACTTTGAGCTCTGTCAATTTAAAACGGAGTGAGTGTATGCAGGGAATGGCAGATGAGCTACTAAACAACCAGCATACCATGTCTGTGCTTGAAGACGTGCAAAGGGCGTCGGAATGAACTGACCACTCACACCTGTGGCTCTGCAGCTCCATCGCCCTGGAATCATTCCCACATGTGTAAAGCCTAGAAAGATAGTAAAATGGACTCGGATGGAGAGCCAAGGATAAATTTATAGAAAAGAAAAGAAAAAGGACCGTCGGTCAGTGTCGTGCAATGTTATCGCATGAGCTGGTTGTTTAGTAACTGGTGGTGTTGGTGGATATTACTGTAAAAGCTATAATAATTATTAGGGCTGAAACGATCGTGGATTTTCACCTATCGATTACTCTTGAGCTTAACGATCGATTTATCGAGTATAATCGTTAGCAGAGAGTGTCAGAATTTTGTGCAAACATTGCTCTGTTTCCGAAATCTAAGCCATCATAATACCGCAAATTTGCATTAGTGACAGGGTAGCTCAGAAACATGGTAGTTATAAAGTCAATTTAACCTCAGAATGTGCACCATGCACCTGGCAACTGCATACTCACAGTGGAAACTGATTCAAAACTTCACAAAAACGAGGGTTTCAGTACTTTTTGGACTCAAAATTCCTAACGAGTAATCTATAACGTAACGATTACTTGATTGATAAGGAATTATCGATCGATTACCGAGTAATTGGTATAATCGTTTCAGCCCTAATAATTATATATAACGAAGTACTAACTCTAATGAGTTAACGAGGAGAAATCTGTCGTTAAAACGTTACACAGAAATCGAAACAGAATACTGAGCTGAGAATGAGTGAGAATCGTTACCTTTGGTACACGTTAACTGGTCAGTTTTGGGAAATCGTTATATATGCGCCTCGTAAGGATAATGGCCTTTACATAGGGCTGAAACGATCATTCAATAACTCTGAACGATCAACCAATATCATTAGCGATCGATTTATTGGTTTTATCGATTCTTGTTGGCTCTACCCGTGTACCTCGAATACTAGTTTAGGAAGAAATTCCATGATTCCTTTGCTACTTCGAAGTACGCTAGAGATTTGTGGCACTGCACTGTTGACATCGGAATCTTGTCATCACCCTGTGGCAACTGCTCTTATCTCCGACCTCTCCCAGAAATGAACCGAAAAGACAAATTCATCTCTCCCGATCTCTTTGAAAGTTACAAATCAATTTTACTGCGCTTGAAAGTACATGATTGTACTCGTATTCACTATCGGATGGAGTGCAAGGAAAAGAACACTGATATGCATGCATTATAAATCGTTAACACTTGTTTTGAACACTAACGGTTATCCATTGCACTCTTAACGATCGATATGCTAGTTATCGGTATAATTGTTTCAGCTCTACTTTTACAGTATAGGTATTATCTCTAATATAAGTACGGTCCTTTATTTTTTCAATGCACCTCCACCCCGTGCTATTAATGGAGACGTTCCTTAATTGGAAACTGTTCCTTTTGTTAGGTACCTCCTCCCGTACCTTTTCTAGCTGGCCTGCATGCACTTGCGTACTCACCTTTTGTCTCCTTTTGTTCCGTTGGCCTGGGTAGCTACTTGCGCGCCCATATTTGCCATAGCTACCCAGGCCCTTTATCTTGCCGTTTAGACTTGCTCTCTTTTCTCACTCGTCAATAATCACCATGTAGTCGTTTCGTTCGTCTTGGTCTCTTGTCCCGTCTCTAGTAAATGTCGTTCCACCAACCTACCTGTTCCCGTTGTAATGTCTGGATAATGTGTCGTCAGTCGTCCTTTTTCGTATTCAACATTGGCGCCCGATTATTGATCGACCCACGACCCTGAGATCATCCCATGCCCAGCCGTCCTCAACCACCATTCGTCTCGTCTATGTCAACCTCGTCTCGTCCATGTCAGTCTCGTCTCTCCTACGCCAACCTCGTCTCGTCTCTATCAACCTCGTCTCTCCTACGCCAACCTCGTCTCGTCTCGTTCAAGCCATGCAGGTCAGCTACCTTTCTCTCTTTCTTTTTTTGTATTCGTTCCTTCTTCGTCAAATTTATTTTCGTGAATTTTTGTAGTGTGTGTGCGCGCGGGTGTCCTTCATTAATATTAGGGGTCCGATCATGGTGAGCCACGCTCTCTTATTTATGTCATATATTAAAGTGTAACTAGGCTCTATTAGCCGTGCAAAATACTAGTCATCAGAATACAATTCAAGTCCCTCGTCGAACTCCAATAGTTATTTTTTGTGCCATGTTTTGAAGGGGCGTTTGGGCCCGTTATTATTGGCAATGTACACACTATAGTATAAGTAGTACAGGAACGTTGACGGTTGTAATGATCTGTAGTGCATTTTTTAGTACACACTTTTGTGAAGCCCGTGTGTTGTGTGTGTGTGTTTTCTCCTTCAGTCATTTTTCAAATCTTTTTCTCTCTTTTTTTTCTCTCTCCGCGAGGACGCGGGATTTTTTTCATGGAGGGGTGGTATGTTAGGTACCTCCTCCCGAACCTTTTCTAGCTGGCCTGCATGCACTTTAATACTCGCCTTTTGTCTCCTTTTGTTCCGTTGGCCTGGGTAGCTACCTGCGCGCCCATATTTGCCATAGCTACCCAGGTCCTTTATCTTGCCGTTCAGACTTGCTCTCTTTTCTCACTCGTCAATAATCACCACGTAGTCGTTTCGTTCGTCTTGGTCTCTTGTCCCGTCTCTAATAAATGTCGTTTCACCAACCTACCTGTTCCCGTTGTAATGTCTGGATAATGTATCGTCAGTCGTCCTTTCTCGTATTCAACACTTTATTACTTCAACCTCATTTCAGAGGCATGTTGCCATGCCAAATTCATGTATGACACACACATTTCAGGGTTTTTTCGCCGGTACAGATAATGAATTTACACAGTGTGCTTATAATGGAGACTGAGCACTTTATTTTTGAATGCCTCCCCAAGGTGTTCTATTATTGGAGACGTGCTATTATAGGAGACTGCTTATATTAGAGATAATACGGTATATCGTAACTTGTAGTTCCTCGGTCTTTTTTCTTTTCTATAAAAAAGTAAAGTTCGCACATCCACATTTCCTATGGCGATACAATTGTGTTATGAAACACAAGCAGCTTAGGAAGGTTTGATTGTGCCAAACAACCAATGCCTGGCATGGGGTGAATCTAGGTGTGTTCATGTTACCCTCCCTCCGAGTAGTGAGTACCCAGTTGACCGTGGGTGTCGGTGCAATTCATGGAACGTAAGGTGGTCCACTCATGCATCACCCAAATGTGTTGGCGCAGTATTGGCGACATGACTAGCAAACGCCCCCTCCTCATCTATATTAGCACTAATTCATCATTAGCACTGATGTGCAGAGAATGGATTTAACGAGTTTTGCATTCCACCTCTTGGTACGTACCTACGCAATCCGCCACTCCACTCCACTTTCCCTGCGTGTCGGTGTCTGCCACGCATCGCAAGTTTATACTGCCCACCTTGAGAGTATGGCCGGCATCGCAGGTTACCGTGGCGATATCGTTCACGCTGCGACTCAGTTGATACCTGGTCCGGCCTCCGACCACCTGCACCGTTGGACAGTAATTGTCAAAGGCTGTGCAGAGAAAAGAGTGAAACAACACCACCAGCAACATTCTTTATCTCACATCCATCAGACGTACATACTGCCTTTTTCTTTTTCTTTTTTACTATGTTCACATAACCAGCTCGAAAAAAATAAGGAAAGACAATGGTACAGAGACTAGGACAAACGTGACAACTAATGAGCAGGCTATATTCTCATATGCGAGCAATGCTCTCACACCATTGTCACACACTTCTCTTGACAGGCTAGAACTACTCCAGCGGAAAGCCGTCAGAAAACCTTTGCCCTTTACACACACACACACTTAGAACACTCCCACCTTTTGCAACACCTCAAATGGCCAACATTATTTTCACGTTTTAAAGTTAAACATATTCTCAGATGGAGAGCCAAGGATTAATTAAAATAAACAAAAGAGAAAGGACCAGTGGACAGTATAGCGTAACTTGTAGTTCCTTGGTCCTTTCTCTTTTGTATGCACATATACTCTTTGCACATTCTCTGCGCCACAATTATGCCCCACCACATATACTTTCGCTGCATGCTGCTAGCAGCGTGCAACACTCGTATAATTTACGCCGCTCTCGTACTTGGCACTTGCCAACTCCGAGGACTGATTGCTGTCTCCATCCTCCCCTGTACAAGGCCCTTCATTACTTTAATTGCTTGCCCACCCAGCTTTGTGGAATCTTTTCTCGTACTCTCTTCAAATCCCAGATATCCCTCATGTTCCACAACTCTGTATGCTCGTGTAGCGACCAACCCTGCCCATACACTCAAGAGTAGTCATTAATCCCTAGACCCTGCCCACCCAATTCTTCCTCACTCTTTCTCCTCTCTCACACTATTATCTCTTAGTGGCCACTGGCCATCGTGAAAATAAAGATTTGCAACACGTCCGGACATAAAGGCAGATGCATTGCATGCAGCGTTGTCCATACTGCATATATTGAAGAAAGATGCAAAAGAAAGATGTGCATGCTCATGTGTATGTACCATGTATCAGATCCAGACACCAGGGACACACGTCCCCCCCCCCCCCCCCACACACACGCACACATGAAGACAGAGAGAGAGAGAGAGAGAGAGAGAGAGAGAGAGAGAGAGAGAGAGAGAGAGAGAGAGAGAGAGAGAGAGAGAGAGAGAGAGAGAGAGAGAGAGAGAGAGAAATAGAGAGAGAGAGAGAGAGAGAGAGAGAGAGAGAGAGAGAGAGAGAGAGAGAGAGAGAGAGAGAGAGAGAGAGAGAGAGAGAGAGAGAGAGAGAGAGAGAGAGAGAGAGAGAGAGAGAGAGAGAAAGAGAGAGAGAGAGAGAGAGAGAGAGAGAGAGAGAGAGAGAGAGAGAGAGAGAGAGAGAGAGAGATAGAGGGAGAGGGAGAGGGAGAGGGAGAGGGAGAGGGAGAGAGAGACATCCAAATCCAGACACCAGGGACACCCCCCCCCCCCCCACACACACACACACGCACACAGAGACAGAGAGAGAGAGACAGAGAGAGAGAGAGAGAGAGAGAGAGAGAGAGAGAGAGAGAAAGAGAGAGAGAAGAGAGAGAGAGAGAGAGAGAGAGAGAGAGAGAGAGAGAGAGAGAGAGAGAGAGAGAGAGAGAGAGAGAGAGAGAGAGAGAGAGAGAGAGAGAGAGAGAGAGAGAGAGAGAGAGAGAGAGAGAGAGAGAGAGAGAGAGAGAGAGAGAGAGAGAGAGAGAGAGAGAGAGAGAGAGAGAGAGAGAGAGAGAGAGCGAGATAGAGGGAGAGGGAGAGGAGAGGGAGAGGAGAGGGAGAGGGGAGAGGGAGAGGGAGAGGGAGGGAGAGGAGAGCGAGAGAGAAAGAAAGAAGAGAGATGAGAGAGAGACAG